CAGTGGTTCTTGGACTTTGGGCTGAGCCAGGCTCAAGTTGTGAAGGTAATCGCAACACACCCTCAAGTTCTTGGCTACAGCATTGAGGAGAACTTGAAGCCCAAGCAAGCACTGCTGGAAGATGCCTTCGGCAGATCAGAAGCTGCAACCCTCATCAGCAAAGATCCCCGCATTTTCTCTTACAGCTACGAGCGCTTGGACACACGCCTCACGGTTCTTGTCGAGAGAAATGAGACGCATTTGCTTACAAGTGCCATGCGGCTCACTGAGGCAACATTTGCTCGGCGTTTTTTGCACGAGCCAAAGTAAACACAGCGACTTTGCTGCGGCTGAGTGTCAGCAAGCCTTGTTTCTCAGGCCTTTCCGTCCTCCAAGAACTGTGTAAACCGATGCCAAGAAGCGATCTGAAGAAAGTCACTTCCAAACCGAAGTCCGCCGTTGGCCGAAGTGTGGCTGTGGGGATCGGAGCGAATGTGGAGCGAATTCCGAGGGAACGAAAAAGGTTGGGACGGGAACGTGGGTGGGCGCGGCGTGGGGGTGCTACTTTCATGGACTTGTTCTCCTGCCGGTCCCTAAGTCAAGTCCAAGGTCCTCGCGTTTTCTAGCCTGTTTGGATCCGATTGCCACACCACAATGTACCTCAAATATCCTCGAATTGAACTTTGAAAAATATAAAACATGTCAAAATCACACCATGTTCACACAATGTCCCGAAAAGACATGAAACCCAGGATTCTTCGTCACGACTGGGGGAGTGGAAAGAAGTTCCTTGCATGTTTTGAGAACCGTCGGGGCAGACTTCATGTCAGTCTCGTTCGCTCAATCCCATCTCGGGAAGAGGTGGATTGCAGTGGAGCCCATATTGGCTCCAAGCTTGGGGGATGGATAAGTGTACCCTGAGTGGTGCTGGTGTGACATTTTCTGCCATTTTTTGATGATCGAAACTTGGAGGAACCGTCCTTTTGCAGGTTTACCAGCATTTACATGTACATTACTGTACACTCTTCCGTTCTTCCTGTAACAGGTCAGGTAGACACCAAGGTATACCCCTTTTCTTTCCACTAGGAGGGTGCTTGTTCGAAGCTGTGCGAAGCTGTGCACTTGTGGACCAAGTATGACAAAGTCTTAAAGTCAAGTCTCGCAACCTATAGTTGCATGGGGAGCCACGTACCATCACATGGCCCTGCCCTCCTGAGATGGTGTTGGACCTCATTCCCTCCCTCATCATTCCTCTCACCAAACTACGAGTCGAGTATTACTGCTCCCCTGCGGGTTCCAACTCTTCAATATAGTGCAGTTGAACTATGGGTTTGCCTGCGCTCCTCAGAGTTTTAAACCAATGACTGTACACATTCAACATAAATTGGTTGCAACACATTGTGGCATTGTCACCTTACTTGCAGCACATACATGTACACTGTGATTCATTCATATTCATTCCTGGCAACGCCCTCGCCCACGTTCTTTGTTCTTTTTCAGGCAGTGATGAAGATGCGGAGCTCCCTGCAGGAAGACATGAAAAGCATCGTCGAAAAGGAAGTCGCTGGCCTCAGGTGGGGAGTCTGACTGAGTCGAAACAGGGGTTTCTACAGAGTTTCTTTGGTCCCTTGAACTGACAACTGAAGTGGAAAACCCTGGAACCCTGGAAAGCGGGTCAGGGGCCTTTGTTTGTTTTTTTTTCGAGGGGCCTATGTTCCACTTCCATCTTAGTGGGTCAGAGTGATAGCGTTATTTCTTTTGGTATGACAGTCCAGAGGTCACCTATGGTCACATCAAGATTGATAGAGCACCCTTGCCAGCAGAAGTCTACGAGGGTAGGCCATCCATTTGTTGTGTGTAGCGCTTGAACACGTGGGGCGATCCTCTAAGTAGTCCCTTCCCAAAATTGAGCAGGAAGAGAGGCTTGGAATGGCTTGGAATCGGACTATTAGCACTTTGATGGCCATGCTTCTTGTAGGTGTTTCTCAAAAGTACATGGCTAATCATTGCTAGACGTCAGCAGGCCACGGACAGCGATGGCCACTGCACGGGAGGGGGCCCCAATCAGCGTAGCAGTAAAGCCGGACGGACGGAGCACAGCATGTTCGCTTCGGACGTGCGGTCAGGGAGCAGCTGGCGCGGATTCACGAGAATTCCACCAGGATGGTGGGCCTCACTTTGGCCAACCGGTGCCTCGAGCTGGTCCCAAAATTATGTTGAGTGCTCAGCCAGTTTGAGTCGATGGTCATCGCAAGTCATCACAGGTTGCTTCAGAACCATATTGGGCGGGGATAGGTACTCGGACCGTCTTTTGCCGTGAGCATGCTTTGGCCATTTATGACTTAGGCACCAAAGGCAGGTGCTCACTTTTGCCCTTGTTCCATACTGCACACCAACCTAAACATTCAGGCACCCTCAATTCTTTGCTTGCAGTTTGTGCTTGCTGTAACGCAGAGCGGGTGCATTGATTTTTGGTTGGTATTATTGGTGGGGTGTACTATAACCTTCCGCCATAACGCATATAATTCGGCGATATTAGTGGCGATATTAGTGGCGATATTTGCTTTCCTCTTGATTAGGGTCAGTGGCCCTCTGATAGATAAACTCAAACTGGCAGTGCTACAGCGGGGTGAACTCTATATCATGTTTTCCCTTTTGCATCTGGGACGGCTGCACACTTCCATGCAAGAAAAATGGCCCTGGCGGGTAGTTGCTGGAATGACGTTTTTGAACACCTTTGCACCGAGGAAGGACTTTGATGAGCATCGCTATGGGCTGAGCAGTGGTGAGCTGGATGAGCTGCTACAACTTTGTCGTGAAAGCAAAGAGCTCATGATCAGTTGCTCTGCTCTGCTGGTGTTGCTTATTTTTTCATTAAAGGTAGAGTTTTGCTGGGGGTTCAGGTTTAGTGGCGGGGCGACATTGTACTTTGTAGTAAGTACGATGACCTCAAAAACGGAGGATGTGGCATGGAGATCATGGAGGGATGGCACCCACACCACTAAGACGAGCACAAGGAATTTGTACTGTAACAATTTGGTCTAGCCTGGAGTCCTCTAGTGGAATAAGAGAATCCCGAATATTGAATATTGATAGCACACTTTCCTGATTGTACTTGTACCATTGTCGTCAGATTTCCCTTGCCAGCATTTTGATCAGACTCAGACTGTGTTAGGCCCTGTTAGGCTGTTCGGTTGTTAAAGTCCGCTGTTCGGGCGACGAGCTGCTCAAAAGGGCGTGTTCCGGAGGGTGATGCATTGGCATGTCGGGTTCAGGCAACACCTCAAAACTGGACATCACCTGCGAGACCGTGGTGAGCAACAAGACCCTCGGCGACGCGGAGAAACGGACGCGGGTTGACCTATTCTGGGTCCGTTTCACCCATGATCGGCGGGCCATGGCAGCTGGGTAGATGAGTCCTTTTCACCAAAGGTCTGGTCCCATGGCATGTGTCTTGCGAGGTGGCGAAGTGGCGACCGACCAGGCGACCTGAGGGTCTCCTAACCAATTCAAGTGGTAAGTTCCAGAAGTCACCTTGAATTGGGTGGTGTGTAGATCCATCTTAGTCCCATCCACCGGTGGATCTTCATTCGGCGCGCGCTCCGTCACCTCTCCAGTTCCAGTTCCACGATCAGACACGATCCGGTTCGGTGCAGGTGCAGGTGGTTCTTTTCGGCGGTTCGGGACTCCAAAAATGGGTTCAAATGGAATACAGAGCAACAAAGAGAACACCAAAAGTATCAACATGGTGCTTTGCAGCGAATTGATGGTGAAAGACATGTATTTCAGGATGGTAGGTCGTTATTTAGTATGGCTCCACGCTTACTGATCCAAAAAAGGGTGCGGAAAAATGCTTCACATGGCGACAGCCAGGAGATTAATTGCTCAGAATGCCGAGACCATCAACGCCAACAAGCGCCGCGTGGCAGATCTTAGGGACCTGGATCGTCCCTGCCTGGAGATAGGTCTACGTAGTAAAGGTCTTCGCTGTTCCGCCTGGACAGCCAGGAAAACAACCAGAAAACAAAGGGATGTTTCCGCAAACAAAACTTGCGGCATAACTGTCTACTGCCAGGAGCTGTTGTTCATGTTGTGTCATGAAGGAAGTACTATTTGAATGAGAATGTGGAGCCAGTTGTTGAGAGGCCAAGTACATGCGTGCGAGACGTTGAACCTTCTGAATGGAACTAAGGGAGCATTGAAGAAAACAGAGGCTTCATCCAATCGAACAAAGATATGATTCGGGATGAGCAGGAGCCGTTTTGACACCACGTCTACCGCATTTGCATCGCAGCATGTTGTGCAGCCGCAATCACCGACGCAGGAGAAGGCCAGGCATGAGGCCGAGGCCGCTATCATGCGTGTCCAATCTCTTCAAGATGCACTCCGAACACAGGAGATCGGGAGCAAACACCTAGCAGCGACCTAGCACAGACAGCAGATCGTTTTTCTCATGTTTTCTCCATCATTGAATGCCCTTGAATCGAAAGCCCTCTTGTGAATGCAGGTGTGCCGTGCCAATGTTGACACAATTGACTTTTGCCTCTTGATGTGACTTTCTTCTGTTGGTTCTGGTAATGACATCAACAGCTGAAATGCACTTGACGTACTCGTACTTGGTATGCCTCAAACCTCCGCCTGAAACTAGCAGACAGAGCTCCCGGCACCCCCAGAATCTTTTCGGAGGCGTCGCCTGGTTAAACTGGAGGGTTTTGGGGGCAAAGTTCCTGCGATTTTCCTTCGACGCCCGGTCGGCTCTACGTTTCCTTAGTGGAGTGAAGTAATTGAATAGGAGTTTCCTTTTCAGGTCCCCTACAGACGCTTCTTTTATGTTATTTTATATTATTCTATTATATGATCTTTAAGTTGCAGGGATTTTGTTCATGCTGTGGTCTCTGTCAAGTAACATTTGGCTGAAGAGGAGCACACCTTGGCAGAGCGGGCCGCCCTGGAAAAGGAGATCTCCGACAGCCAACAGCGACGCCCTGAGCCACATCCGGTCAAGGCGTCCAAATCAATACAAGAGTAGGACATCCTCCAAAGATCCATACCTGGAACCCCAAACAACTATATAGAAACAAAATGGTTGTTCCAATATGGCAATTGAAATCCTTTACATAGGATATGGTTGGGACTGGGGAGTTCCATCCATTTCTTTCTGGTTGGGACTGGGGTTCCAGGTAAAGATCCTAAAGCCGAAGATTCCCAAGAACGGGCGGTCGGCCGTGAGACGAGATGACTCGTGAGATGTGGATTTGTCCAAGTTCATCTTGTTAGAAAAGAAAAGAGCAAGCACGGCAAGTCCAACAAAACAGGGACAAATCCACATTTGTCCAATTCTTTTCATATCTTAAGTAATGAAAACAGGTTGTGACGAGCTAGCGAAACGACCCCGGACCCACGGGAGAAAAACGGTTGGAAAAATGGTTCACCCCTGAACTCCTCGTTTCGGGGCTATGTATACACACCCCTTGGGGGGTCCTGGAAAGATTATTAGTGTAATTTGTTGTAATATAGTCATTTTCTGTGAACCCCTAGTATGTAACAGCATTCACTACATGTCTACTCATCTAGCTACGGTTCACAAGCCACATGTAAAACACATGTGCACACCGTCGCACACTTGGCTCAAGGAAAAGGCGCACCCGCGGCCTTTTCTTTCAGGGTGCCGTGTTGTGTCCACTGTGTGGGCCACACACCTTCGTCGCCTTCGTGCTTCCGCACTCTGCTCGTTTTCGTGCCTTTCGTTCGTTCGCCTTCGCGCTTCCGTTCGCTCGGCTCGTTGCAACCACGGGGTCTCGTCCTTCGGATTCGCCTCGTGTAATAATAAACATAGACCGTGCCTCCAGGGATCTGGCATACTTCTTCTATCACCTTCCGGTTGAAAGGGTTGCCTGGGCGTTTCCCTACGCCCCACCTGGTTTGTACACTCAATTGGTTATCAGCCGTAGCCGTGAGCTACAGGCATCGTCACTCGACCCCATCCAGTGGTCCGTTGCAGCACGCTTTTCGCACCTGCATAGGACACCAATGGGTCGTGTCAACCCCCAGCCGCAAGCAACCGGCGCCGCTGCCTCCTCATCGGCTGCAGCACCAGCCACGGCGCCTGCTGGGGACCCTCAGGATCAAGAAGCATCCGCTTCCCCTGAGGGTGTGGTCGGAACCGCGCCTAGCGCGGAGACCACGGACCAAGAGTTTGGGGAGGCCGTGCAACCACCCCTTACTCCCCGGGTCGCTTCAGGCATTTCATCCTCCCAACCGACATTCACGCCTCAAGGTTCAGAAACCGCAGAGGCGGAGGAGGAGGTTGACGACCCTCAACCGGAAGAGCCTGTCGCAGAGCCGACCACCGTCGAGTTGCCTCCAGAGACCAGCACACTTGGTTCTCTTGACGACGAGGCCCCTCTCGTTGCAGCAGAGCTCCAGACCGGAACCGCTGCTTCGCGCGGAGAGGTCTCGCCAGCTCAAGACGGCACGTTAGGCCCATCTAACGCCGACGATCCGTCCTTTGATGTCTTTTCGTTGTTAGGCCCACCTAAGCTAGAGCCCACAGCCAAGGAGGAAGTAGAGGAAGAAGTTTATGCCGATCCCTCAACCTCCCCTGTAGGCCTACCCCCACTGCATACTCATAATCATCCAACGCAGTTCGAATCATTGGCCACCGATCCGGTCTTTGACGAGGCTGAAGTTGACTTTGGAGACGAAGAGCCAGGCGACGACCCTGATGATCAGGCGGAGCCCGCTCCCAAAGAAGAGCAGCAGGAAGGGGAAGAGGCTGACGACGAGACCGCGCCTGGCGCGGAGACATCACAAACAACCTCCGCAGCCGTAGATCCTCAGCCGAAGCGTACGCGCGGCGCGAGGGGAGGCCAAAAACACCAGTTCGAACAGTCCGACAAGAAGTACGCTCTCACATGTGATCTTATCGCAAGTCACCTGGCGTCGCATACTTACCGTCGGGTTCGTAAAACATACCATCTACCATTCGTGAAACCGCTGATTGCGCGGAGAGACTACTCCGAATGGTATAAGTATGTGGTGTTCCATGCTGATGCATGGGCCGAGTCCCCTGAAGACGGAGACATTTCCGACGGGGCACTCAAAGCCTGGGCGGCCATAATACCAGAATTCTGGTCATGGTGTACTCGTCACATGCCGGACATCTCAAACGGTGTGAAGCAACCTACATACCGTTTTCCGCCTGGGTATTACCAAAAGACATACAAGTTCATCCCGCTCCGCCAGGTCCACTCCTCGACGGCGACCTCATCGCAGGCAGCTCCGGCCGCCCAGCAAACCTTCCCCGTGACCGTCCCGGCGCGCACTTTTCAGCCCGTAGTGGGCGCAAGCGCTGCCAGTCAGTCAGGAGGTTGGAGACCGCAGTTGAGACCTGTCGATCACCCTGTGCAACCCCGATCCCAAACTCCCCAAGGAACTCCAAGATCTAGGTCTCAGACCCGGACCTCAGAGCCAGTTCGACCTCCTCGACCAACCAGGCCGTGCCCCAGGCCTAATCGTGAAACCGCTGAGCTTCTCGCGGACACGGAGCAGCCGACACGCACGGTCCATCTTGCCGACGACACCGAACAGGCAGATGATCCTATGGACGGTGTTGGAACCGAGGAGGGAGCGCCCGCTCCGGAAGCCGAAGCAGATCAAGGGTACCCAGAAGGAGCGGAGGAGGAGGGCACAGTCCAACAGGGCGACCAAGGCGGAACCGCGCTTGCGCGGGAGGAAGAGGAAGCTTTCGAGCCAGATCCCGTGGTCGAAATCGAAGGTGATGATTTAGAGGCAGTTCGCACCCGTGCCGCCAACACGATAACCCGAGCCGTAAGGTCCGGTCGACTAGGTCGTGCACTTGCAGCCGCAACTCCTCCTAATCCACCACCTCTAGACCCCGAGTATCTAAACGTTCCTCACAGGCCACAGAACTTACCACCTCACGTTAAGCTTCGAAGGCCACCTCCACCGAAAGCAAGCGCCCGGAGTCTACCCGTGTCCGCGCAGCCTCCTGCAGCCGACGCTCCGCGTCCGGAGCCTAATCAGCCGAGGGAGGCACCGCAACCGCGTCAGCGCGGATTCGTCAGACTCCAACACGCTGCCCGCGAGCCGCCGGCGCAGCCCATTCCGATGGACACAGCTCGTGACACTGTCTATGATTTGCCTGACCACGTATGGCGAACCCGCCCAACGAGGGAACCCGGCGGTCTGACAGTACCACATTCAGAGCTACTGGTGCATCCAAACACTGAGGTACACGCCATGGACGTGGACGACGAAGAAAGTCCACCTCCTCCAGCGGCCAAACCTCGAGCAACCGCCCCTTGGCGGTGGTAAAGTTTATCGGCCTACGGCTTTTTTTGGCTTTTTGAGTTTCAGTGCAAGAAACATCCGCCTACCTCATATCTGGTGTTTGCCTGCCACCTGTCAAAAATTCTACACAGTTTGGGGTGGGCCAGCCGTTTTCCCACCCGTCCTACTGAAGCGGGCTGCTTGTGGGAAACTGGTCAAGTGTTGCCAGGATGTTACAAAAAAGTGCGATGCGCAGCACCATTTAGAGAATCTTGGAGAGGTGTGCCCTTATGAAGCCAGCATACTATACACTCCTAAGAACTGCTACCTAAAATTAAGTAGGGGCTTGCGCGTAGTAGTCGCAGCGTTTCGTGTGTTGGGCGCTTCTCCCTCATGCCAGGGAGACGGAGGTTTGTTTCGAGTTTTCTGTCTTTTGAGCATGTTTTGCAGTTTTGCGTTGTCAGTTGCAGTTCACAGTTTTTTTTTTGTGATGTGCTTTCAGGTTTTTAGTTTCGATGTCTTGTGATGAGTTGCTACACGCAAACAGACAGACAGACAAACAGAGACAAAGACCTGTGAGTCGTGTGAAGTGTTAGTGTTGCGTTGCCGTTGCCGCGTAGGTTACTTACATGTTAAGTATGGTTAAGTTCTCGCTAACAGACAAGGAACCTCAAGCTTCGCAGAACCAAAGGAAGCAAGGCAGCACAGCACACGCTGAGAACTGACAACAGCGCACAGCATACACAAGTAGTCAACACAAAGCAGCGCCACCCCAAACATTAGCCCCGCAACAATGATGCCATGTTTAGTTCCGTGTTCAGCGCCTGGCTTGTGCACGAGCTGGGTGAAGATTGTGGGACAAGAAGAAAGCAAAGGCTGGAAAAACCTCTGGTATCCTCAGAAAGCAAAAGTTATCTAAACTCTTTGTTACACCAGCTTCCTGCGCAAAGCAGCCTTGCAGATTTGAAGAAGGATAGTGCTTTTTGTGGCAAAGTTCTGGCTTGGTGTTTGCTGGAACTTGACACCTCAGTGGACACATTGATCAGCAAGAAGAGTATAGAACGAAAGATTCTTCTTGAACATTTTTGGTTTGAGCCGCTCATACACATGAAAGCTCTGCGAGTGGTCCCGTTCCAAAATGCGCAGGGAGTTGTGCACACAGGGGCCAGGAACTGGCCTGCGTCAAAGATTTTCGAAATGCATCCAGATCACGTTCCCTGGCTTCTTGGACAACATGTTAAAGGGGAGGAGATAAGATTGGAAGAGAAGTTGGTTGCCATGGGCCTTTTTCCCTTTGCAAGCACCACCACTAGTGTGCAAATCTGGGGGCCGGTTGCTCATCTCACATCCGCTGAGAGATGGTGTGATGTGTCCTTGCCAGCATTTTTCCAATGGAGTGCAGGTTGCACTGCTTTGCTCACAGGGGAAACCAAGCAAGTTTTGGAATCAGCTAGGAACGCAGCTCTCACTCTTCGTTTGAACAGTGTTGACAAACCAAGAACTGCAGGAATTGAGATGCTGAACCCATCTGGTTTTAACCAGCTGGCTGATGACATTGCAGCTTGGGGGAGCATGTTGTTGGACAAAGAAGAATTTTCTGAGGATGCTGAGCGATGCCGACTGGAAATTGCGATTCAAACTTGCAGATCTCAAGCAGCGCTGCTGGAGGACATTGCAGCAGGCTG